AAACCAGATTTGAAGGAACCAGTAATGTCAAACAGTCAAAGCTGCAAATGGTTCTGTCAGAATTCGAAGCTCTCAGAATGACTGAAGACGAAACCATTTCGACCTTCCACAGTAGAGTTCAGAACTTGATGAACCGAGCCTCAATTCTTGGGGAACCATTCACTGATGAGAGAGTGGTCAAAAAGATCCTTAGATCTTTACCTAAACGATTTCGAATGAAAGTAACTGCTATTCAGGAACACACAGGTTGGGAAAAGAAGACTGTCGGAGAACTCATGGGAAGCTTACACACATATGAACTGGAAGTTCTTGCTGATGATGATATTGGAAGCAACAAGAAAGGAAAGTCGGTAGCCTTTGTGGCTGAAGCTGATCGAGAATCTGACACAGACGACATAGATGATGAAACCCTAGCTCTCCTAACCAAAAATTTCAAGAAAATCTTAAAAGGTTTCAACAGAAAAGGTCAAGGTCAGCCTACCAGAACACAATACAAAGGCAACAACTCCTCATACCAAAAGGTTGAAACAGCACCTTTCTCACAAAACAATCAATCTCAGACTGGTCGATCAAGACAAAACAGAAACAGTGCCACAGACACAGGAAAACCCCTCAATCGGTCAGTGTAGTGTAGGGAATGTGAAGGATACGGTCACATACAGGCTGAATGTGCAACATATCTTAAAAGGAAAAAGGCTATGTCTGTAGCTACTCTTAGTGATGATGAGGATGAAACTTCAAATGATCAATCAGATGATAATGTAGGAAACTTTGTAGCTTTCTTTACTGCCACAAACCTTCAATCAGACGGAGATCAATCAGATGGAGAATCATACATATCAACTGATGATTTTGAAGAGAGACATACTCAACTTGAGGCAGAATTTGCAAAACTTGTTGCTAGCTGGAAACAACTTGTGAAAGTAAATAAGAATCTGAATGATGAGCTGAAACAAAGAGATGATCTTCTAAAGAAATTGAATGCTGAATTGGTCATAAAAGAAGATCTCATCACTCAGATACGGTCCAGAGAAGGTAAATTAATCAAGGAGTTGGAGAGCTTGAAGAAAAATATTCAGATGATGGACACCACATCTACCATAGATAAGATTCTAGACTCTGGCAGAAATCCTAATGATAAAAAGGGTCTGGGATTTGAACAAGGTGAATCTTCGAATAACGCACCAAAGTTCATCAAAGAGGGAATGTCTAAGACCACAGTTGATCACAGTTATGAACAAGGGCAGTCATCTCAGTCAGTACAAACCAAGGGAAGGAGATACGGTACTAATACTGACCTGGGCAGATCAACTCAACAAACTCATTATTCAAGGTTCAAAAACAAGATGGTCAAAGTTAGATATTATACTCCCATTTGTCACTACTGTCAAACAAAAGGTCATACTCGACCTGAGTGCTATTTTTTCTACAGAGATCAAAGGAAGGAAAAATATCAGAATAAGACTATTACACCATTCACTAGACAGGTTTGGGTCAGAAAGTCAGAAGTTATCTGCTACCCCACCATTGTTCTGACTGCTTCTACAACTGATGCTAGATGGTATTTCGACATTGGATGTTCCAGACATATGACTGGAAATATTAAGTGTCTGATGGCTGTTCAACCTAGCAGTGGAGCTGTAACTTTTGGAGATGGACAAAAAGGTAAAATCGTTGGGAAAGGTATCCTAAATGTACCAGGTTTGCCTCAATTAGAAGAAGTCCTACTAGTCAGTGGGTTGAAAGCGAATCTAATTAGCATCAGTCAGTTGTGTGATCAAAATTGGAATGTATGCTTCGATCGTAACTGCTGCAGAGTTAGTGACAAAGCAAATCAACTTGTCATGGAAGGAACTCGTTCCTCAGACAACTATTATGTTTTGACAAATGAAACTGCCTGTCACCTATCCAAATCCGATGAATCAAAACTCTGGCATAGAAGACTGGGTGACATAAACTTCAGAGATATGGATAAGTTGATAAAACTGGAAGCAGTAAAAGGTGTACCTAAGATCATAATTGATCCAGAAAAAATCTGTGGGGCTTGTGCTATTGGGAAACAAATCAGAACTCCACACAAAGGAGTAAGAGGTATCACCACTGAGAAATGTCTAGATCTTGTTCATATAGATCTCATGGGGCCAACACAGACTGAAGGTATTGGGGGAAAGAAATACATATTTGTGTGTGTAGACGAATTCTCTCGATATAGCTGAGTATACTTTCTGAGAGAAAAGACAGAAGCTTTCAAGGCCTTTAAGACTCTGTGCATAAGAGTTCAGAAGGAAAAGGATGAGTCTATTATAAAAGTTCAGAGATTGAGGAGTGATCATGGAAAGGAATTTGAGAACTCACTATATGCAGACTTCTGCTCCGAGCATGGTATTTCACATGAGTTCTCAGCTCCTAGAACTGTTCAACAGAATGGAGTAGTGGAAAGAAAGAATCGAACGTTACAGGAAATGGCTAGAGTTATGCTACATGCCTCACATCTGCCGCAACGCTTCTGGGCTGAAGCAGTTCACACAGCGTGTCATACTATAAACAGGGTCTACCTTAGACCAGGAACGACGAAAACTCCATATGAGATCTGGAAGGGAAAGAAGCCAAATCTAAAATATTTTCATGTGTTTGGGACAAAGTGCTATGTGCTGGCTGATAGAGAACAAAGAGGAAAGTTCGAACCCTAGAGTGATGAGAGCGTCTTCCTTGGATACTCTCCGAACAGTCGTGCCTACAGAGTCTACAACAAGAGGACTCAGTCTGTGATGGAGTCAGTAAATGTGGTTATCGATGACAATCCGGAAGAATCAGTAGACTCAACAGTGATAGAGTCTTCTCTAAGTAAGTCAGATGCAAGTAATAACAACAGTCAGCCCAAACCACAAGACTCGACAGACGAAGATCAAGAAAGTTCGGAACAGGAGATAGATCTCATGAATGATGTTGGTAAAGAGAAACCCACCAGAACTCAGAAAAACCATCCATCAGATAACATTATTGGAGATCCATCAGATGGGATGAAGACCAGGAGTAGAATAAGAAATAATCTGACAGAAATATCTGGGTCTGCTTGCTATACCTCAAAGATAGAACCCAAAAATGTCAAAGAAGCTTTACAGGATGATCTGTGGATCAAGGCAATGCAGGAGGAGCTACATCAGTTTGAGCGGAATCATGTTTGGAATCTTGTACCAAGACCTGATGGTGTCAACGTAATTGGAACGAAGTGGATCTTTAAAAATAAAACTGATGAAGCAGGGAATATAGCCAGAAACAAAGCTTGGTTGGTGGCTCAAGACTATACACAGATTGAAGGGATTGACTATGACGAGACTTTTGCTCCTGTAGCTAGACTCGAGTCAATCAGAATCTTGTTGGCTGTCGCATGCATTTTTGGGATTTACTTTATATCAGATGGATGTCAAGACAACATTTCTGAATGGGTATCTCCATGAAGATATCTACGTGGCTCAACCTAAAGGGTTTGAAGATCCAGAACACCCTTCTTATGTCTATAAGCTTCGAAAAGCTCTCTATGGCCTTAAGCAAGCCCCACGGGCCTGGTATGAACGACTGGCACAGTATTTGCTCCAGCATGGGTATAAACGCGGAAGTGTTGATAAAACTCTGTTCGTAAAAACCACTGGATGTCATCTAACCATAGCTCAAATTTATGTTGACGACATTGTGTTTGGATCAACCCTGCAGAAATACACTGATGAGTTAGTAAAAGTGATGGAGGAAGAGTTTGAAATGTCCATGGTTGGTCAACTGACATACTTCCTAGGTCTACAGGTCAAGCAAAGTTCTGAAGGATACTTTATTTCACAAGAGAAGTATGATAAGAATCTCGTAAAAAAGTTTGATCTGGAATCATGTAAATCATCCAGAACACCTATCTCCACCTCTACAAAAGTATCGAAAGATGAATCTGGTATATCAGTGGATAACACAGTCTATTGTAGCTTGATAGGCAGTCTGCTGTATCTAACAGCCAGTCGACCAGACATAATGTTCAGTGTTGGAATCTGTGCTAGGTATCAATCTGACCCAAAGGAATCACATCTAATAGCTGCAAAACGCATTCTGAAATACGTTAAAGGAACGATAAAGTATGGACTCTGGTATTCCAAGGACAGTGAACTGAATCTGGTTGCATACTGTGATGCTGATTGGGCAAGGAATATTGATGATCGGAAGAGTACTTCTGGAGGATGTTTCTTCGTTGGTAAGAACTTAGTATCATGGTTAAGTAAGAAACAGAACTCTATCTCACTAAGCACTGCAGAGGCAGAATACATAGCTGCAGGTGGTTACTGTACACAGTTGGTTTGGATGAAACAGATGTTCCTGGATTATGGTCTTACTCAAGGAACAATGACACTCTTCTGTGACAATGTCAGTGCTATTAACATCTCCAAGAATCCTGTTCAACATTCCAGAACGAAGCACATTGACATCAGGCATCACTACATCAGAGACCTGGTTGAATCCAAGGAAATTGAATTGGAATATGTTCAGACTGACAAACAACTGGCGGACATTCTGACCAAGCCATTGGATGCTAATCGTTTTGAAATTCTCAGATCTGCTCTGGGAATTTGCAGAATTGACTGATTAAAGCAGTCGGTCCGTCAGAGAGGAGTTGGTGTATACGGGTCAGTGTTATGATTTGACTTTGCCTAAGGACTCCTCTCTATTTATGTTAAGAAGTTTATCTAACCATATGCTCCTCAGAGATATCTTAAAAGATCTTAATGCTTTTTCGAATTTCAAATTTCCTTGGGTTCCGTTTCCTTCCTAAAAAGGAGCTGTACCGTTGTGTCCATCAATCACATCTGCATGATATTTGACAAGCCGCATTAATTAGGGTTCATCACCCTTAAGCCTATATGATACCGGGTCAAGAAGAAAGAACTCACCTCAGCTCTCAACTCACTATTTCTCTTGCATATCTGCCCTCAGTGATCTATTCTTCTCTTTGCACATAATCTTCAATGGCGGACCCCGTAAGAAACATCATCATCAAACTCGGAAGCAAGATACACCCTCCGGCGGCAGCCCTTAAACATATTCAGACGCTCCTGCAGTTGGCTATGAAGAAGAAGCTCAAGCTTGATCCTCTGCTTCGCGACGAGATTCTGGTGACTGTTTTGTCCAACTATCCAGAGTTTTATGCTGAATGGTCGGCAGATGATGTGACTAAACTTCTTGTGATGGTCGCCGAAGCCAGTGATGAAGTCTCTCCAGTGTCTATTCCAGAACCCTCGGATGGAAATCGGGCCGGGGCATTCCTTCAATTTTTTGCTCAACGTGCCCTAGAATCTGTTGAAGTCTCTCGACGGCGAGAGGAGTCCAAGCTCTGTATCTCGAAGCTGCTCAGAAAGAAGCGTCACACAGACAGGAGATCCTTCGAAAAAGGGTAATTGATTCTGAAACCCCTATTGAAATTTCTCCGGATAAACCTGTTGATTCTTCTATTCCTTCTTGTGTGCCTGTTTTGTCTGAAAATTTATCTGCTTTGGACTCCGAGAAGCCCCCTGTGAATGTTGTTTCTTTATCTCTGCCTTTGAGTGATTACGTTGGTGTGAAATCTGATGAGTTGCATGTGTCTGATGAGAAAGCAAAGTCCTCTGATGAGCCAAATCCACTAAGTCTAGTTGTTTATGCTTCTGATAATATTGCTCTGCCTCCGTCTGAGACTGCTAATGTCTCTAAAGAAACTTGTTCTGCTGTTGATCCTCCTGCCTTACCTGCTACTGTTGAAACTGTTGATTTATCAAGCCCCCACAAGACTGAGAAAACCGGTGGAATCCCTGTTTACACTGCAACATCTTTAGGAGAGAGTCTGGAACATGTGCGACACTTTGCTGGGCTACCATCTGCTTCAATCCCTCAGCCATATCGAGTGATTCACCCTTCCGAATCCTCCAGTGAAGATGATAAATTACTGGCTGAGGTGTATGGATCTCAAGCACCTCCATCTGCTACTCCTACTGTTGAGGCAACTGCTCATCCTGACTCCACGAATTTCAAAATTTGAGAGATCTCAAATATTATTGGGAGCTCGTCTGCGAATGTTTCTGATTCTAGCCACTCTGTGACTCCTGTCCAATCCCCAACCAAGGAAACAAGACGGACAAAAAGGAAGAATGTTCCAGCAAAGGTTGTTGTTGAAACCAGTGATGATAATGCTGATGTGGATCAGCCTGCGAAGAAGAGAAAGTCGAGTGAGACTGTTAAGCCTGAAGGAGACCCGCCTATCCATCAAGTTTTCAAGACTCTGCGATCGTCTGTTAAGCACAAAGGATCTACTGCTGTACAATCTGTCTCTGTACCAGTCTCTTCTGTCAGAAAAGGGAAGCCATCCACACGATCACGAGGTCGAAGTGTCACTCTTGAGGTCCCTCCCGTTGAAGAAACTGACCCATCTGTTTATCGGCCTCAATTTGTATCTCCTGCTGCACAGACCAAATGGGCCACTATGGTTAGAAGGGATCTTATTGTTCAAAGATCGGTGGACGCGAACCAGCTGAACTCCGTTTGTGACATTCTACACTTGCTGAATGACGTCGGGTTGTTGAAAACTGTCACGGATATCTGCCCTTACTCTAAGCTGCTCACATATGAATTCTATTGCAATCTCAATGATGAGATTGATGTTCTCACAGGGCCACGACCGATGCAGATCTTCATCAGAGGAAAGTGGTATGTGTTTGGGCCTGATATGATAAATAAGTACTATGGCTTGCCTGCAGTGCAAGAAGAAGATGTTACTGACTGGGACTTGGTGGCTAGAACTCTTACCGGTGGACAGACTACATCTTGGCCTACAGGAGATAAGGACTATTTGCTGAGCTCGCATCTCACGTCCAGATATGTCATTCTACATCGCCTGGCCCTACACAACTGGCTTCCATCAGCCCACTTCAACACAGTTGGCAAGCTATTGGCAGGGTTCTTATTTCGCAATGAAACTAATATGCAGCTTGATCTGGGCAAATGGATTTATTATCATGTTCTAACTCTGATTCATCCCCGGGAACAGAAGGTAAGACTACCTTTTCCAAATCTGATTTTTCGCATCCTTACCTCTCAGGGTCTTGAGCCTATGCCCAGTGAAGTGATCAGTCCAACGCTGCTCTATACTGTTGATAAACGCCTTCTCTCTGGAGATCATATTCGAGATGTTGTTCCTGTGACTGCCCCATCCATTTCTGAACCTGATGCTGTGCCTGATGAATCTCCTCATGCTAAGGATGTGAAGCTTTCCATACAATTGAAGGCACGAGTTACTGATCTTGAGACGGCGCACAGTATTATTGCAAAGCAACTGACAGGGGCGCGCACTGAGCTGGCTACTATTCTTCTTCGTTTGAGCCTGACTGAAACTGCTGCTGCTGCGGATCCCGTGAAGTCTGACAGTGACTCTCCCTCAAATGCTTGATCTTTGGCTACCTTTGGCAAAAAGGGGGAGTAGTATGAACTCAGGGGGAGTTTTTGTGGTTGAGTACCTTCTGGCCCTGGCTGGGCGTTATGTTTTGATGTTGTTTTGATCTTAGACTGCTTTGGATCTTATGTTTTTTTGTTTATCCTATGTAATCAGATTGGACACATGGGTTACTTCTTTATAATAACCTATCTTAGTTCTTTATCTTTATAGTCGAGTTGTTTTGCCAAATAATAGCCAAAGGGGGAGTTTGTTAGTGTTTTTATGTTCAAAAACCCCATATTATAATTGGCAATATTATTATGGCATACTAAGATAGGTTTAGAGTTTGTCCGGTTGGTTCTACAGATGACTGATCAATCAGAAGCAACAACAGAAGAACTGACACTGAAGATCTGATTTAGGAAAGCTGTTTCCTTAAAAGGCTCACGTGGTTTTATCAGACCAGTATGGAAAGACGATCAGCGTATCTTCAAGAAAGGTAATGGACCTAATCTGCTAAGATTACATTCCTCTTTTATATTCCTACTTTCTACAATCAAATTCATCTATGGAGAGTGTTTATTGAAGGATTTATAAGTACCCTGACTTGAATGGAATTAGGGTTACGCCGAATAGTAAGAAGAAACACTCCATATCAGCTTTATGAGACTATGTCTTTGATTGTCATGCATCTTCTCAATACAAAATGTTCACGGTGATTAAGATGATGAACTTGAGAAGAGTTACTGCTGCTTAATCGAAAGGACACTAAGATCACACTGTTGTGGGAACAACCTTATAGAGCGTCACTGAAGTGGACTGCATCAGAGTGGGCTCTCCAAGTGAAGGGATTTCATTGGACTTCTGTACGCATGGCTCTCCATCTTCAACAATCCACTAAACCTGTGTAGATTGGGTTTGTACCTTGTGTGGGGCACTTGGGTAAGATTATTGTATATCTACCTTTGTACATTGGATTATGATTTAGTGGATTGGACGCCTATGTGATCGTCTCCCAGACGTAGATACACACCGTATCGAACTGGGTAAACATTCTGTGTCTTTGTTTTTGTGCGTTTGGTTTTCTCTGATATTCTCTTCATGAGCTATCATTATTGATTGGCATCTTACCTGAATCAATCAGTAATTTAAGTCAGACAACGAATCAGTTAATTTACGTAAAAAGGGGAATTGCAAAATTACAAAAGTTTTTTCTATGTAATCTGATTTGTAATTACTGCATATATTATATTTGTATATGCATTATATATATATATATATATACACTGTGCGGTACTTTTTTCATACCTAATGGTGTGTTTTTGGTGATGTGTACCTAATATGTGTGTGTTTATGCAGTGTATTTCCTAGCGTTGATGGTGTATATTTGCTTAACTATTGGTGCGGCCGCACTGACCGCACGGGAAACGCGGCCGCACCTGAACTTAACTCTCTGTTTGTGTGTGTGTGTGTGTGTGTGTGTGTGTGTGTGTGTGTGTGTGAGGGGGGGGGGGGGGAGATCAAGTGCAGCCATGTTGTTAGGTGTGGTAATATGGCCAATTACAGACCATTAGATTAGATAGATCCAATGAATCACATTACCAAGATTCTTCTAGTATTTTCACGCACGTTCTCCTACCCAGCGAACTGCAAGGGTAAACTCGTCATAGGGCACCGAAATAGGGAAAATCACATTGTTGTGTGTTTTATTTGTGTAATTGGTGCATTATTAGCCTTACTCTTGTGTATTTGTAGATTCCCATTGGTGCCAAGTTCAAGTGCAGCAACCCCGTCCTGTGTGGTCAGTGCGGCCGCACCAATTGTTATACAAATATACACCATCCATGTTATGAAATGCACAGCACAAAACATACACAAATTAGGTATGCATAACCAAAAACGCGCCATTAGATTTGAATAAATACACCATACAGTGTTCGGGAATACACTATTGGTGTGTTTCACTGTGGTGTGTTTTATTACACTATTGGTGCATGTTGTCAACACTGTTGGTCTATTTCTGGAACCCGACCGCTATAAATGGCCACTGTAATTTCCATAACACCCCCACTTACCAAAACGCACTAAAATCCTTAAATCCTCATAATTAACCACTGCCGTTAGATTAAACTGATTCAACGACATAGTTACGACCACACCGCCACACATAATGACATGACCACATATGAGCTCTCTTATATATATATATATATATATATATATATATATATATATATATATATATATATATATATATAGAGAGAGAGAGGTATTTGTAGTGTGTGTATTAGTTCATGATTATTTGTAATTTGATTTTTTATGCATTGTAATTTAAAGCTTCATTCATTATAAATTGTATTGTATATATAACTATTGTTTGCTAATTTAAGTTTTATGTTTGTATATAGCAAGGATATATTAGAGATTTTAAACATTTTTAGTGAAAGTTTAAGCGAACTAAATGAGTTAATTAATTTTCCAATTGAGATGGAATAATGCTTCAATTTAGTATAAGAGTCAACCCCATGCCAAAGGTCATGGGTTCGAATCTCTAGCCTTATTGATCAAACTCGATAATATCTGTTTTTCATTTCTCGTCACTATATATAGACATAAGTAAAACTAAGCATCATTATCCCTACCAATCTCTCTTACTTTCAAAAATGGGTCCCACTTCCACATAATCAAATTTATAAATTATCCACCATTTGTTCTACATCCCTACAAATCTCTCCAACTTTCAAAAATTGATCCCACTTTCATATTATATTTTAAATATAATAATAATAATAATAAAAATAATAAAAATGAAAAAAAATATGTTGGCGATGGTAGCAAAAGCCGCCTAGCAAATTTGTTATATTAACAAATTTGCTAGTCATATAGACAATCCACCAAAATAAATAATGCTTTTTGGATTTTAACATCATCGAGTCAATGCTATCTTTGCTAGGATAAAGCCAGCCTAATGTAACTGCTATTTTAGTCATTAATATTTCATTTTTCGGTATGACACATTTTAATTAATAAGTAGTCTTTACAATTTCACAACCAACCAATTATTGTATAAATCAATTTATTATTAGCAAAAATCAATAGTTATGCTGTGGAAACGTGTTCACTATGTGCATGGTGAACACAGGGGTAGATCCATAATTTCTATATTGTAGATTTATAATTTTTTATTTTTTTTGAAAACGTAGATTCATAATTTTGTTTTTCATTTGTTGTTAACATGATAGATCCATAATTTTTAAGTTGTAGATTCATAATTTCTATAATGTAGATTCATAACATCTATACTGTAGATTCATAATTTCTATACTGTAGATTCACAATTACTGTACAAGATTCATAATTTTTATATTGTAGATTTATAATTTCTATACTGTAGATTCATAATTTTTATACAGTAGATTCATAATTTACGTACTGTAGATTCATAATATCTGTAACAACAAATGATGAAAAACAAAATTATGAATCTACGTTTTCAAAAAAAAAAAAAATTTGAATCTACAGTATAAAAATTATGGATCCACTCGTGTTCACCATGCGCATGGTAAATACATTTCCACAACATATATAATTGTCGAGCAAAAATAGTTCTATTATTTTTGCTTATAGATATTCAACCCAAGTTTTGTAAGAAGCAACCAAATTTTTAGGTAACCTCTTATTTTTAGTAACCATATTTTTCAACCTATTTTTAGTAAAGTCCTAAACCAATTAAAATGGTTGAAACTGGAAAAATAACAAAAGAAAAATATGAAGGAACAAAAATGCCTTTACTAAAAATAGAGAAAGTCATGAGAATGACTAAAAGTGTCCAAAAAATAATAGTCTAGGATGTAAAATGGCAAAAACGATAGTCTGAGACTAAATTTGGAATTGTCACCAAAGACAAGGGACCTCTAGTGGAATTAACACTAATTTTTTATTAATAGATTGCTCATGCAAAGAGACATTGGATTGATGATAAACATATCTTCCGGTATCTTTAAGATGTAAAAGACGTTATTAGTTTATTTTTTGCAAGAATCCTAGATATGACATTGGTAGGCTACTCAGGTAAACATATCCTCAGGTATCTTCAAGATGTTATGTCCTACACTGGTTATGTCTTTCTCTATAATGGTATTGTTATTTCATTGACATCTATTAAATAGATAATGACCACTACCTCTACAAATTAAACCACTCAAAGATTATTATTTCATATGAAACCAAATGTGTGGCATAACAAGCAAATGTATTATCCCTACTGTTCTATATGGTACTGGAAAATGAAAGTTATAAATGAGAAGTGGGTATGTTAAAAAACATTCAAAATATAGTACCAAAATTATTCTACCAACATTAGCTCCAGAAGAGGTGTGAAATTATGCATGCACGGGCTTAGCTCATTGGTTCAGTAAATAGTATTTTGGAGAAAAAATGTCCAAAGTGGGCAGATCCCTTGTGCGCACCGGCATTTGGCCCTGTCTCCTAGGTCATTGAGTCACCGTGATTTACATCTTCCCCAAATGTTGTCAGGCTGGGGTGTGGGACCCTTGATATTGGAGATTCAACCTTTTGAGAGAAGAGTAGTGAAATTATTATACAGAAGGTTAGTGATAATTTAGTAAATTTGTTTACCAAATCCCTTCATGTAGCTACTTTTGACAAGCATATTTATTATATTAAAATGTGTGGGCTTAGAAGATTTCTATCTTTGGAGGGAACAACATTTTCATCAAACAATATTGAAGATAGGGTTGTGCAAACCCAACCCAACCTGTCAAACCCGCCCGGACCGAAATCCAACAAGAGGTCATCCGACCCGCTCCGCACAAAGAAGCCAAATCCGATCTGCATGGCGATACGACGTCGGTTTAGTGATATCAGATAGGGTATGGGTTTTTGTATTCGACCCGCCCGAATATCTGACGTTTTGTAGGGTTATGGTTTAGGGACATACTATACGACGTCGTTTAAAGTAAGTGTGTGTGTATATATATATATATATATATATA